ATATTTGTGTAAAATCATATAATTATCAGATATATTTGTGTGAGATTATATAATTATCAGATATATTTGTGTGAGATTATATAATTATCAGATATATTTGTGTAAAATCATAATTATCAGATATATTTGTGTAAATTATATAATTATCAGATATATTTGTATAAAATCATTACCAGATATATTTGTGTAAAATTATATAATTATCAGACATATTTGTGTAAAATTATATAATTATCAGATATATTTGTGTAAAATCATATAATTATCAGTATATTTGTGTAAAATCATATAATTATCAGATATATTTGTGTAAAATCATATAATTGTCAGATATATTTGTGTGAAATAATAAATTATCAGATATATTTGTGTAAAATCATATAATTATCAGATATATTTGTGTAAAATCATATAATTATCAGATATATTTGTGTAAAATTATATAATTATCAGATATATTTCAAATGATTTCCCAAATAAAATTTTTGGAATATTTACAGTAACCAACATCAAATAGATATCAAATCAATTCAAGTCCCACCATTTTTTACCCGTAAACGTTAACCTTCATAAATACACAATATCTCACTGTGTCAGTTTGTCGATTTTCGATGCTAAGACTCAATGGTGCGTACTAAGGATATGTTTTTCTAGGGAAGTGACCGTGATACTAAAGACTTTTGTGGTGGCTGCTAAGGCTGCGTGTCTATATAGTCGTGTTCTCCGGTGGGACTGCGGTAAGTTGATGGACTTACAGCGCTAAAATCCGGGGTTTGATTCCCCTGGGCGCACACAGCGAATAACACAATGTGGCTTTACTCTAAAACAAACAAACAAACTTTATAGTATCAGCAGTGGGGAGTATTGCTACGTCTGTGTTTTTCTATTGTAGTGACGATGGGTAGTATTGCTATGCCTGTGTTTTTCTACTGTAGTGACGATGGGTAGTATAGCAACGCCTGTGTTTTTCTACTGTAGTGGCGATGGGAAGTATTGCTACGCCTGTGTTTTTCTATTGTATTGACGATGGGTAGTATTGCTGCGCCTGTGTTTTTCTATTGTAGTGACGATGGGTAGTATTGCATCGCCTGTGTTTTTCTTTTGTAGTGACGATAGGCAGTATTGCTACGCCTGTGTTTTTCTATTGTAGTGACGATGGGTAGTATTGCTACGCCTGTATTTTTCTATTGTAGTGACGATGGGTAGTATTGCTACGCCTGTGTTTTTCTATTGTAGTGACGATGGGTAGTATTGCTACGCCTGTGTTTTTCTATTGTATTGACGATGGGTAGTACTGTTACGCCTGTGTTTTTCTATTGTAGTGACGATGGGTAGTATTGCTACGCTTGTGTTTTTATATTATAGTGACGATGGGTAGTATTGCTACGCCTGTGTTTTTCTATTGTAGTGACGATGGGTAGTATTGCTACGACCTGTGTTTTTATATTATAGTGACGATGGGTAGTATTGCTACACCTGTGTTTTTATATTATAGTGACGATGGGTAGTATTGCTACACCTGTGTTTTTATATTATAGTGACGATGGGTAGTACTTGCCATTTCTGTGTTTTTCTATTGTAGTGACGATGGGTAGTATTGCTACGCCTGTGTTTTTATATTATAGTGACGATGGGTAGTATTTGTACGCCTGTGTTTTTATATTATAGTGACGATGGGTAGTATTGCTACGCTTGTGTTTTTCTATTGTAGTGACGATGGGTAGTATTGCTACGCCTGTGTTTTTATATTGTAGTGACGATGGGGTAGTATTGCTACGCCTGTGTTTTTATATTATAGTGACGATGGGTAGTATTTGCTATTTCTGTGTTTTTCTATACTAGCGAAGGGTGGGTAATATTTGCCATTTCTGTGTTTTTCTGTAGTAGCGAAGGGTGGTGGGTATTATTTGCTGAGCTTTTATTTGAAAGACACGGTGGTGTGTGCGTTTTACGCACGACGAATGTAATATTAGTACAACTACTCTTCAAGTCAAGTATGTACAGGTACAATCTTAACGAGTAAACATAACTAAGTTATTACACAGAATTTCTTGAAATCACGTTGACTGATATGATGCATTCCTCAATATTCAACGTTAATAATTAACACTGTATTTACTCATTACATGATTAAACATTTGACGGTCAAATGAAATTATCTGTGAGACAACATTCCTTCAAATAGGATGATTAAATAAAGATTAAAATTGTAAACTTATCTAACTAAACAATTGAAATATTATTGAAACTGAATGATTTAAGAAGATACAGTAAATGAAATAATCATGGAAACACAACCGATACACGTACAACTTATTTATGATATCAAAAATTATTACAGAAATTATTACAGAAAATACAGAATAAAAGCGAATAAGTTGTACAATGCATTCGTGTTTTTTCATCTGAATTATTTGCTTTACACAAATATTGTAATCGTTGAATATTGTTCCAAAAAATATTCCATCACTCCACACCAATTTATCCAACTTGTATGGTGCCTTATAATCTACTTAGTGTTTACATAAGTCAGAACTGACAACAGAAATTATGGCAGCGCCCCTACTTGCACTGGAGCGCAGCTACTAATATTGTTAACCCTTAACGTAATAATGTTCATATCGGAACTTTGTGGAGGCTAAACCATTATTGTATTATAATGAATGTTCCATCGACCTCTTTACCGTCAAGATATCCTTTCATTATATTTGTTGTAAGCTTGGGATCATTGTCTTCCTGGTAGATGAACCCCTACCAGATAAGTCGTATTTCACGGAAAATGGGATGATGGATCAGAATCTACCTGTAGCCATCAGCAGTCAGGGAGCCATTAATTTTATCTGTATCATTGACATCACTGGTTATGAATGCAACCCATAGCTTGTATTGATACTCTACCATGCTTCACGTTAAATGTTGTACATTGAATAAGATACTGTTTTCAATATTTAACAAACTTTTTTGCTTTGATTCATATTTGAGTAATATCCGTTTCTAGCTTTGCTTATTCCATTGTTTGAGATCCGATGCTCATTCCAACCTTTTAGTTTGGTTTTATCTTCGAAGCAACGGTTGTCGAACAGTTACACGTCTGTTGAGTCCATTCAATGCTAATGTGTATATAATACTGTTCTCGAGGTAAAATTTCTTCTGTATTTACAACAAGCTCATTGGCTAGGTCTCTATTCCACCGTTGCCTATCTTGTAAGGAACATACCCTAAGAAAATTAGCATGACATTTAGAAGGTTTCGGTTTTCTACCACGACTGCTTTTATTACTAAATGTGACAATTTCATCTGTTCTCTTCAGAGTCTTGCATAAAGTGGTACTGGAACATGGAGTCTGACCGCAATTTTCAACACGTAGTAACCTCGACCTTGTGGTGTTTTAGTCCCTTGGTAACCTCGACCTTGTGGTATTTTAGTCCCGTTGTTACCTCGACCTTGTGGTGTTTTAGTCCCGTTGTTACCTCGACCTTGTGGTGTTTTAGTCCCGTTGTTACCTCGACCTT